GCGGCATCACACTCCAGTATGCCCTCATGACCCTATTTCCATCATGTACCGATGATCTGCCAGGTTTACAATTTGGCACAGCCCGGCTATCCGTACAAGAAGCTTTCCGTGCCCGTCCTCTTTGATAAGAAGACTCAGGTTGGTTCATCCTCCACGGGCCTGCAATGCGTCCCGGACGCAATCTCATCAAGCATGCCGCGGGCTCGCGATCATTTTTTTAGACCATTGTTAACAATGAAAGCAGCGAAATCATCCGTGCGTCAGCCTGCCCCCAAGCCTCCCGCGCGCCACCCCTTGGCCTTTTTTTCTTTAAAGAAAAAAAAAAACCCCAATCAGACAACTTTCCTCTGTCCTTTTCAAGGACAACTTGAGGATTTCTTCCGATGATCTGTTCTCTTTGTGGCGCTCACCTCTTGGTGTGGTGCCTGACTCGTGCACATATCCTTGACCTTTAGGCATGTTCAACTCACAGTTCAACGATTTGGCCAAGCGTCCCGAGCTGGACCTGGAGCCGGCCGATTTGGAATCGGCCATGACCGAGATTGACGAGCTCGTGTATCCCAACATCAACGATGTATGTGGCAGACACTGTCTTGTATCAAAACAGAGTTTTTGGGGGTGTGCAGCTGATTTGAACTCGTGTGTCTCGTGCTGGGCCCATTTTCAGGGCGTATATCGCTGTGGCTTTGCGGGCAGCCAGGAAGCCTACGATACGGCCTGCACCAAGCTGTTTGACGCTTTGGACAAGGTCGAGGCGTTGTTGGGCAAGCAGCGCTATCTCTGTGGCGACCGACTGACCCTTTCGGACATTCGCTTGGTCACCACCTTGGTACGTTTTATTTTTTTTCTTCCTTGGCTCGAAAGCAACCGCACACACCAATCGACGTGATGTCGATGTGCTCATTTGGTGTGGGTTATTGGATGAGTAGCTGCGCTTTGATATCGTATACCATACCCATTTCAAGTGCAACAAGCGCCGCGTGGTGGACTACCCCAACCTGTGGGGCTACACGCGGGAGATTTACCAGATGGAGGGTGTCAGCGCGACGTTTAACCCGCTGGAGACCAAGAAGCACTACTTTGGTACGATCCGTGCCGACAGCGCGTGAGAGATGGGCTGAGGCCAAAGTGTCCAAGGTTTATGAGCGTGTCCAAGCTGAGCTGACGACACAATTGTTTGTGTGTGCGCGCGCGTGTGTGTTCTGGCGCTTTGTATGTTGCTGTAGGTTCCCATCGCAAGATCAATCCTCTGGGCATTGTGGCCCAAGGGCCGGACAATTACGAGGCGTTGCTCAGCGAGCCCCACGGCCGCGATCGCGCCTACAATTGAAATCTCCGGGGAGGGCCAACTCCCGCTTGTATACGAGTGTGTCCATTTTTAAATTTACAAGCGCGCAACATGATGGGTCTTCTGTCGGGGTGGGGTTTCCAAAC